TCTGAACAGGTTACAAAGGATGGATTAGGTTGGAGCAACTTTTGGAACACTAAAAACTGGTCGATTGTGTGATTTTGTGCAATACAGTAGTGATAGATGTCATGAATGACTTTTCAATGACTTTGAAGCATAGGTTCTTTTATTGCAATTTCCAGTGTGAGAGGGTATATCAGATTGCAGAAAAACATTTAGACAAAGAATGACATTAGACATACAGACAAACAGATTCTATGCATCTGTGTCGGATTCACAATTACACTGGTTAACAAACAAACAAAGGGGAATTACATTTTCACTCAACATTCACACACATGTACACACATCATCCACATGCATCCAAAATATTACCATATCCTTTTTTCCTTCCTTGGAGAATTACCTGTTAGGCCAGACCCTGCTTTCCTGCAGCCTGCCAACATAGTTCCATAACTCAATAACTTCAAAATGCTGAAATGCCAAAACTTCTTTCCCTAAGAACAATGCCAAGGACCAGATCTCTGTTTTCCATACAGCAGAACCTGACTTATTACACAAAATCTAAGACTCCAAAAGCACACATCTTCCTCTTCCCTTGGGAAAGAAGCTCCAAAGTGACCAGACTGCTCCTGTGCAGATCTGCCACTCTCCATTGGTACACTATCTCTCTCTTTCCCATGGAGCAGAGCATAGTGGGTGGAATAGACTCCTCAGTCTGCCACATTTTGAGCATTATTAGACTGAGTCTTTTATAGGAATATTCTGTTGATGTAGTTCCCAAGTTGTAAATTAATGATAGACATCTTCCATCCTGGATCCATCTCAGTTTCCTGGCCAGATGTTGATCTTCTTGGTTGGTGTTGATCTTATGTTGACTTCCTTCTTAACATAAGGAATGGTGCAAACATTTCCTTAACTTGAAAGAACCATTGTCACAGTTCTTATCAATTCTCATTAGCATGTTTTGATCACATTTCCAGCAAGCAGGTAGTTAGTCATTGCAGGCCTTAATATTATACTGGTGTTTCCTAAATTATTAACTCCAACCACACATCCTTCCATTCTTCCATTCATTCCCACACATCATATTAAATTCATATTTGTCAAATCTGCACATTGAATTTCTTGTGACATAGATGCCACCATAGCCATGAAATAGATTTCGGCATGAGTTATGTCCAGAATGTACTTTTGTCATGTTTACAATCCCCTGATATACTGGGGAATCATATGCACAAACAATTGAAACATGCACCCAGAAGCTAACTTGCGAGCTGGTTAGACTAACTCCATGGTTTGCATATTAATGGGAGCTTCCCTAGTATTATTGCCAAAATCAGTGGAAATATCCTTCAAGGCAGTCTGAAGGCCAGTTGGGTCAATCAATCTTTGGAGGTAAGCATACTTATTAGTCTGCTGCTTTGCAGAAGATGATAGCTGTTGAATTGCTAGTGAATAAAGTGACATTAAACAACCTTATTTTCATCACTAAGGACACATGGGAACACCTTGATGCCTACTCTTAAGTTGTAAAACTCTCCTATGGGAGGATAGGATAGCCATCTTCCTGCTCTTCTTTTGCTGGCAGGAAAATATAATTTTATTTCAAGGAAGTTTTGGCTCTGAATTGCTTAGAATTATATAATCCAAGCACTGGGAGAGACCATAAGGGCTACCCAGTCCAAACCCCTCCTGTCAGATGGTCATCCAGCCTACATTTAAAAATCTCCAAGGGAGATTCCCTTATACCCCAAAACATCATATTCCTTTATTGAACAGCTCTTACTATTAGGGAGTTTTGTGTGTTTTACATGCTTGAAAATTAATTTAAATGTGTAATTATTTTCCTATTTTGTATTTTAGTTCCATATATTTTACTATGATGATTGGATTTCAGCTGTATTTTGTTTCAATTTATGTCATGAGACACCTTCAGGTCCATACTGGGATCTCATTAAATAAATAAATGACAATAAATAACAAAGAAACTACAGTTGCCTTCATCACTAAGAGATCTCTTCCTCTTTTTTCAGGACATATATTGTCCCAGAAACCTATTTGAGTAGATATGTGGTTTCTGTTGACCTGGTACCTTGAACAAAGATTGGAAATCTGATAGCCTAATAAATCCTTTAAAAAGGAAGGCCACTTATAAATTTCTTGCTCAAAACAGAAGCATAAATTGTGCCGCAAAATTGTGAAGTTACTTACACATCATTTGGTACATACCTGGAGCAGTTGTTTTTCAAGTGTGAAAATGTAACACTTTATCGCCTAATAATTAAAGCACAGAGTAAGAAGTTGATCTCATTGAAATAGAAAGCAAGCAAAATCAAAATAAGACAGAATTGTGTGCGACAGTAAATTTTATTGCTTCTTTTTATTTGAAGGAACATTTCACAGGATTGCCAGGAACAAAAAGAATATGCTTCTCTCTCTTTGAAGAACTCAAAATGGAGTTATGAATACACATATATACAAATATGTTACAGGGATTTAAGAAAGGGAAACGGGTGTCAGAGTTGTGTAATGGTTTGAGTACTGGACTAGGATGCCAGGAGATCAGGATTCAAATCCCCGCTTCACTGAGGAAAATCATAGTCTCGCAGCCTCAGAGGAAGATAAGAGTAACCCTCCGTAAAACAAACCTGGCTTTAGGGTCTCTATCCCTTGGAAATTATTTGAAGATGTACAGCACAAAGGAAGAGGGAGTGACAGTTAAATTCCTAGGACTCTGAATGGAACTGGATCCTTTACTGAAAAGTAAAATTATTGTGTGTAAATCAACCAGTAAATGGGAATATGAATTCCTTTACTCCTGGCTTTTGTTGTAAGGCTTTGTACTTTATCTTGATTATGGTTTTTGAGGCTTTGATGCCTATCACAGACCTTGATGCTTTTACTCTGTTTATATATGACTGTTGGTATTTTGGTGCCCTATTAACCTTCAAGCTCTGGATAAATATATCTCTTTACATGTAAACTGAGCACATTCTGAGAAAGAACTGCAGTGAAAGGCTAATTAATAATAGTTATATGCAATGCAGTAGCTTTCCATTCTAGGGTTTGAGCTAGCTACAGAACTGTGCATTAATTCAGTCTTACAGTATCCCGTGAGAGGATGCCAAATATTACTATCCACTCTAATAACATTTCTGTATGAATTTTAGTAATTGTTATGGATCACTGGGACTCTTTCTGAATTGCTATGTGAGAAGAGGGATAAATCAAACAAGTTCATTTGTTTGTCAAAAACCATGGGTCATCATAATATATATACAACACATAAGAAATGCCAGTGAATAGCATACACTGTAAAGCAGGGAGGTTTTTCACTGCTGAGAGGATATGCATGTCTTGTGATTTATAAGTGACCATTTAGAACTAGCTGCAGTTTAAACACTGAGTCAATTCATAGTCAACCACCAAAGTTATATAAAATAAAAGTCTTAGACAAAACTATGCTAATTGATTGTCTTACATTCTGGGTTGGTCATGCAATGTTTGAAAAATGGCGTATTTGTCTAGTTCCAACTGACATGGTGAACCTTTCCACCATCAGACATTTTATGATGTTATCCTTATTTTAATTCTATTCCCAAATAATTTTCCTAGGGATCTCATACAGTTGACAATGTGAGACTAATGTACTCCACCCATTCATGTCCACACATACATGCTGCTAAATTTGCAAATATATATTTATGGACATTTTATTTTATCACAGCAGACTAAGGGCATTGCTTGGAGACAAAGCTCAAGATAAAATGCCAGCCTCAAAAATAAAGTTTCCAAGTTTGACTGTACTTTAAGCAATCCATCTATGTAAACAGGATTTTATGTATAACCTCCATAGCTACCTAGACATCTCTCACATATATTCTACCTTTAATTTGTCTCTTGTCAGTCTCTGTCTCAGTCATCTCCCAACAGATCTCAGGGTATGTCATAATGAGTCATTACAGTTTTACACTGTTTAAGCAGACTAGTAGACTGAAGCTCTTTCATTAAGCATTATAAGTAATTTTTCATCTGACATTCTGTTCAGCCTCAGCCAATGCATTTGGGAAAACATTCTGCACCTAGGTTTTAGCAGAGATAATTCCATTTTCTGCATTCAAATGAATCACCATTGGAATATAACAATATTCTCAAAAACTGATTTTGTAAACTTTTAGGACAACTTTTTCCATACCTTCTTCACTGGAGTTTTATGGATGCATGTCTATTTAACTTTCTTGAAATTTTCCAAGGTGCTGGTTCACTAAAAAAAAACCCTACTTTATTTAGGCCAGTGATGGGAATCACATTGTGCTCCAGATTTTGTTAAACTGAAAGTGTCTGCAACTCTACCCAGCATTCTCAGTGTTGGAGGAGTTGCTATCCAATAGCATTTGGAGGACAACATGATTTCCAGGCTATCAAATGACTGGAGGAAAGGTCTGACTGTATTGTTGCCATAATGGAATGAATCTCAGACTAGAAGAAATATGAGAAAACAAACTAATATTTGCAGGAATAGAATCAATATTTGGGGATATTTTGTGTTTATTGGCAGGTTTCTACTGACATTCTTAAATTAATCACAGTCAAAACAACTACCAGGTGTCAGATGAGGAACTTTAAGGGCTTATCTATATTAGCCAAAAACTCCACACTCACTATGAATGGACTGCTGGCTGTCTTCATCGTGTACAATGGCTTCTGGTGAGTGTTGCTGGGATTTATGGTTTAGCCCCACTTTTATTGAAGTCAGAGGATACTCCACAGTTTTCTGGAAATTCCAGAATATCTCAGGGATTTGGGTCCATCTGGACAGCAGGATTGGGTTCAATTCTGTTTTTGTAACATGTTTCTATTAATAAATTTTGTTTGACAAAAAAGAAGCATTCAAATCATGTCTGCTCAAAGCTGGAGGGAGGCGGAAGGGAAGGCCCGGTAGAACGAAGGAGGCAGAAGGGGCGAGCCTCCAGCTGTGTGTGGTGGTGTCGCCGAGCTGCTTCCACAGGTCCCGGGTAAAGAGACATCCAAGGCTCAATGCTTCATGGTGCTGGCAACAGGGCTCTGCTCTTTCCAGGGCTGTATCGGCTGTGATGGTGAAGCTGAGTGGTCATTCTTGCTTCTTGGGGTTGTTGATGGCTATGTAGTGAGAGAGGATGACCAGCAAGAAGAGGGAAACCACCAGCATGTAGGCAGAAATGGCCAGCTGCATGTCAGTCACCATCCTAGCGGCTCAGATTGTCCCAGGGCCATGTCTTCCTCTTCCTCCCCTTGTAGTACCTTCTGGGAGGAGGAATTTTTTTTTTGAATGATCCACTGTTCAGACTGGATACAGCTGCATTGGCCGCCCTGAGTCCCCCCTCGGGTGTGAGAAGGAGTGGGTTACAAATGCAGGAAATAAATAAACAAACAACCATTTCCCTGTTCTCTTAGCACAGGGGAAAGGGATGGAATATGTCTGTATCACTGCTGCCACCACTTCTAACTGGTCACTCCCAAGGTGTCCAGATAACAGTCCCAATGTGCTGGATCTGGACTTGCTCCAGGGTAGACACTAAGTTAAATTGTCTGGCATAGATGTGCCCTAGAATCCAAAACAATTATCTGGTTTGAAAACGAGGGTTTCCCCTTTTGGATGTTTAGGGAAGTTTAACAAACTTGTTACACCTCTTGAATTTATGGTGATATCTGAGTGTATGAACTGCTATTGCAAACTTTCAGTTGTTTTCTGTATGTCTTAAGATGAGATAAGAATATTATACAGCCTATGGGCTGCATTTTGTACCCCATTCCTGTACAGAAATGTGAGGTACACAACCAGAATAACAAAATAGCAAAATTTACCTTTGAAAAAAGGTTTTCTCAGAAGTCCTAGTCCATCACTCAAACTATATTGGCTATCCTGATAGAAAAATATGGTTGCAAAGCTTCTCCTGTCCTTTGCATTCCCTTTCTGAATCTTAAAAAGCCTCAGACTTTCTGAATTTCCTACACTGTTTCTTTTCTATTACTGTAGCAGGCGGCTTTATATCTGATCTCAGTACAATGTCTAAAACTGTTTTCTATATCTCTTCAAAATCCCTTCCTGGATTTTGTGATTTTTGAAAAATTGCCTGCCTGTTTTATTGTGAGAGGGTACTTTTGGCTGTGTCGTTTATTTATTTATTTTCCTAATATTTGGTGACATTTTGTTCAGAATCCCCCTTTACATATGAATGTCCCTAAATTGATTCATATTATTGCCTAAAATCCTTTTTCAAAGGTATTAAACTATTAGACTATGAATTGCAATTATTTTGCAGAAATTATGAGCTTCAGCCAAATTTTACAATATCTTGATCATGCTATCTGCCACTAGAAACAGGTGGGATTGAGGGGGCTATGCATGTAAGAAGTAGACAAGTCAAATGCAACTTGGGTTCAACCCATGTACTTGAACAGAGTGATGGCAGAAGGAAACAAGAGAGCCAATAGTAATAACACTAGTTTGTGTGTGTGTGTGTGTGTGTGAGAGAGAGAGAGAGAGAGAGAGAGAGAGAGAGCAAGCATCTGTTACACACACACACACCTTTTAAAGAATGAGATAAATGTCTCAGATTGGTGAGATCCATGGTAGGAAAATGTATAATAATCAGTCTCATTCCTTGTTGCCTACATTGGCCAGAAACCCCAAATCAGGCCAAAACTCACTCCAGGATGTCCAAACAATGTCTGTCCCCTCAATTGAGGTTAAAATCAGTTAACCTAGTTTGGGTGAGCAGAAGTTGGAGAAAGGTCAGGGATTTTGCCAAAACTTCAGAGCAGCCCCACACTTCAGGGTTGGGGTAAACAGCTGGACCAATACTAAATTGAATTGATCCATTGTCTACATGGGCCAGTTCCACCATCCCCTTTTTCTTACTCTCCACAGTACAGCGAAAGGGTGCTGGAACCTAGCCTTGCTGTAGTTTGTCACCACATCATGTGTCCATGGAGTTCTGGAGAACTCATGACTGTTGCCTGGTGCCTTTGCTGACATAAACAAAAGCACTCACATGAACTGATAACAAGAGGATGTGATTGATGTGCCTAGAAAGGGGGGTGGAATTTACTATTGTATCTTTTGTTGCCAAGGTCAACTAGCTATGGATCGCTGAAGCTCTGTGACAGGCCGTGGTACTGGTGATAGCCCAGGTGATCATCAAATGGTGCCAAATCAGGTTTGGTCATACTTTTGCCACTGCCGTGGTTTGCAAGCAGATAATGTAAACAGCTCCTCATACTCAGGAGCTGGTCCAAAGCAGCAATGATTCTGACTGACCTCAGATTTTGTGAATGGATCCAGTTAAAAAAAAATAATGCCAATGACCAACCCCCTTATCCCCAGTCCAAATCGGAAGAAATAAGCAGGAAGGGAGGAAACTTCCATATATCTTTGGCTATGGAATTCAAAGGCATCTCCATGATAGTCTGGATGCATGATCAAATATATCAAATGCCTTAGCTGACCTAGGCTTAAGTCTACGAAAGCTTATGCTATCAACTTCTTTCTCTTAGGCCCCTTCTGCACTGCCATATAATCCAGATTATCAAATCAGATAATCCACATTATCTGATTTGAGCTGGATTATAAGAGTTTACACTGACATGTAATCCAATTCAAAGCAGATAATCTGGATTTTAGCAATGGCAGTGTAGAAGAAGCCTTATTTAGTCCCAACGGTTCTGCAAGAATCCTTTGCATATCTTTGGTTGTAATTAAATCATGTGCGTTTGATGATGGTGTGATATATAAAAAAGACCTCCACCTTTTATTTAGGGGGTATCATTTTCTTTTTAAAGCATGTTCTTTCTTTCTTTCTTTCTTTCTTTCTTTCTTTTTTTTTTACAGATGCGTTTTCCTGTATACCAGAGTGTCCTTCTAGGAGTGTTTGTTTTCAGTTTGTTACCTTTTTTTCTCCATTAGGTATTTTGCAAAAAGTTTTCACCAAGCTATCCTTTAAACTCCCTTTTTTTCTTAACAATTGAACTTCTGAAAATGGGCTTACTATTTCAGGTATTGAAATATTTGTCTGTATATGTACATGCTTCTTGACCAAGTAGTTAGATCTTTTAATCCCAGAAAACAGTCCAAGTGTCTAGTAAGTAAATATTAGCATTCCCTAAAGATTTGGTGACACTCATTTTCTAATGCAAATATTTTAGTTCTACTTGTTTGAATAAGTACCCTGGACTCCCTTGGTGTGTGGTTCTATGTAGTCTTGTACCCATTGGGAGAGTGATGTTAGAAATGTATTCCAAATAATTAGACACTAAAATTTTGTTGAAGCTCCAGTTATTTGGGCACTGAGACTATAAATAGCGTTAATCATGAAAGGAAAATCCAAAAAGCCTTTGAATTTTCCCCCAACAAAAATATTTTTCCAGGTTCTATTATGTTTTATGGTTATTCCTTACATTCTTTGTTATCAGCACAAACTACAATGAAATATTACAACTCATTGCAAAGGACTCAGAGTAATGATAAACTTCTACCTTCCTACAAAAGATTCTGAAAGGCAAACTTAATTGTAGAAATACATTTGACAGCAGGTTTGAGATTCTTTCATTACAGATTTATCCCAGTGCTGCTACTTGAGATATGCTTTGTTTTTTCAAGATATGCTTCCTCCAGAATAAAAGATGACAAGAACCAGGACCCATTGCATATAAAATACGCACTCTTTCATTGAGGTGTTTTACCATTGACTTTCCTTGCCAGATTTTGCAGATTGTTATGGTAATGATTGTGATGCCATTCTACTGCTGCTTCGAAAAAATGCAGTAGCTTCCTCGGTTCAGATTAAGGGATTTGTGGCATTGCTTTGTATGCTTAGATAATACAACAATATTGAGAAAATGATGCTTAGTAGAGAGAGTGATACAAACAGTCTATGATCTGAAGCATCTACAAGATTTTCAGCTGACTTTCTGAGATCACTGAAAACACCATATTTTACTCCCTTGGATGAACCATAGAAACTCAGATTCTCTGTATTTTCTCTGAGAACAGCTTGCCAAGAGGAGCAGGATAACATCAGAAATAAATATCATTTTGGATGGGAGTTCATTTCCCCAGAATTAATTCAGTCTGACATGGAGTACAGGAACATGTGCCATCTGGTCAAATCTGACTTGGGTTTTTGAGCAAGGGGGAGGGGGCAACTGATACTTTTGTGAACAGGAGAAGCAATAGAAACAGTAATCCCTAGGCACTGAACATGTAAGATGCTAATCAGAAATTAAAATAGGTCTATAAACATACGGACTACAAGTTAAAGAGGGTCAAGATTATAATCTTTGAGGAAATGAACTATATTCTTTCTCAACATTCCTGAGCACAACACTGCATTATTGTCATCTTTGGAATTTAATTCATGTTATGTGCAGTTATTTTACAAATTAAACAGGACCAATGTGGCAATGACAGTATATCTTATTGGTTTACCAATATTTATCGTCTTCATTTTTTCTTAGAAGGCATTCTTTAGTCTGGTGAATAAAAAGAAATGATCTTATTCACCAGACAATGTTCTGTGCATGAGGTGCAGACCCGTAGCCAGGATTTTGATTCGGGGGGGGGGGGGGGGTTTTTCGGGGGGGGGGGTTCAGGGGGTTTTGATTTGGGAGGGCTGAGTCTGAGTGAAAGAGGGTCTACCTAGCAAACCTTTTGTATCATTACCCCAATACCCCCATGCATATGGGATATATTGAGTATGGTGATCAGATCATGATATGAATAAACATAACAGTTTAAATAATGTACCAGTAAGGCCTTCTTGCGGACCACCATGAGAATTTCGGGGGGGGGGGCTGAAGCCCCTCAAGCCCCCCCCCCCCCCGGCTACATGCCTGATGAGGTGGGATCTGCAATCAATTGCCAAGAATGGCCTAAGGTCCACTTGATGTCGTGGTTTTGCCTGAAAGCAGGGTGTGAGTTCCTATATGCTGCTGATCCATTCTGAAGATTTAGTCGATCACTGTTTTGTTTTATGTAGGGATACAAATTTTGGTTTATTTTTCCCTATGTGTGAGATAATAATTTTAGCAATGCTCTACACAGTGCTTTGGAACTTCAGTGAGGAAAATTAATTTGTAATATGTGTTTTCATGAAGAAAATGTGTGATTTGTGCAAAGTACAGTAGTCCCAGTTAACTGTAACTCAGGCAACCGGAACTTAGAAGCAATTGGCAAAAAAATGAAGA